ATATATTTTAAGTTTTTAATATATATTTATTTATTTATTTATTTATTTATTACAAAAAGTCCATAGAGTTACTTGACACTGTTGTCCTGTCAAAAAATTACAAATTTTGTCATATGTTCTTTGCATGTGCAAAATGTAGTGCAAATAGCATGACCAAGAGTAAGTAGAGGGGCAAAAGATTATGAAATAATTTTGTTTACATCCAGTATGAAGTAAGGATAAATAGACTAGTATCAAAATCTAATTTGTGAAGATGGATTTATTGACAATAAATGCTTGTTATAGTGTTTTTTATAACTGTTTCAGACAGTTATAAAAAATTTGCCAGTCTCATTTTGGGACATCCTGTATATATATGAATTATTTTAAAAAATTCTTCAATTATGATTTGTAAAGAAATATTTTCCTAAATCAAATTGTTTATTTTCAATTGTAATGAAATGTAATTTTTTTATATTTAGGTGGAAATGGATATATTAATGATTATCCAACAGGACGATTCCTCAGAGATGCAAAATTATATGAAATTGGTGCAGGAACAAGTGAAGTACGAAGACTTATTATTGGAAGAAGTCTTAATAAAGAATATACAAAATAGTAAGAATATACTTGTATAATTGTAATCCTGATACATAAAAGAATATTTTATAATACTTATAGTTTACTAAAATCAGTATTAATGCTTAATTGTATATTCTTTAATATCATTAAATTGTTCTTTCAGAGTCTAAGAATTAATATTTTACATTTTCATGTTCCAAATTGGAATGCTAGCAGATGTTTGTGCTAGCATTCCAATTTGGAATATGATATTGAGACCTAATGTAAATCTTGTTCATAGATTGAAAACATTTATCTATATTTAAGTTTATTAAATGTTCTGCTCGAGATATTTTATTGTTGTTTAGAAGGTAGTGTTGTATATTTCTTCCAGCCTGGTAAAGATTTTAGAGATATTTTAAATCCTTCTTCTTTTAATTTTATATTATGTCACTAAATATTTCATTTATCTTTTAAGTATTTAAATAACATTGTGTTGAATCTTTGCAATATCACAACAAAATAAAACATATATTCTTAAATACTTTTATTTACTTTTTATTAATATATAATAAATGAAAATCAATTCTTAAAGATAAAAATCATCAAGAGGAAAAATTTTATTCTTAAAACAAAAAAAATTGAAAACTTTATTGATAATATACAATATGATATAAATTTTTGATGCTATATTAGCACTTATCCTAGATGCACTTGAAACATTCCCATTTATATTAAGATATCTTTCGTACAACAGAAATGTAACAGTGCAGTTTTGATCACATCTTGCAGAAATATCACATATTTAAATATTTAACAGCTTGTCCATATTTACTGATAAATATCTAAAGCTAAAGCTTTATCCTTGGTTATAAACACAATTTCATGCGAGTTTTGAAGAATCAGTAAAATATGCAAAAACATCAAAGAGGAGTGTAGTAAGAAACTCACACTGTTCCATAATAAGGAAAACAAAATTTTTTAATATATTTTATCTGTCTAGGAGAAACACTTAATTTATTACCAAGCACAGTACTTAGAATTTTATACACTTGACTGTGCAATATTAGTCATCAAATTTTTGAAGCTTCCTGATTGGTGGATCACATCTTTTCCTTGACCAAATTTACCTTCTCCAAATGGAACTGAGTATACTTTATTCTCTACTGCACCATGCTCTTTCATTTCTGATTTCTTCAAATTACCCCATTCTTGATGATGAAGCATCTGGTAGGTTGGAGAACGTTTAATACCCAATGATGTATAAATGAGAGGACTTGGAAGAGGTTGTTCTGCTAGTGGAGTGTTGGTTTGGTTACTGTTGCAAGATTTAAGAATAAAATATTATAATAATTTGTATAAGACTGCTTTCAATTCATTATTCTTTATTACAGGAAAATTATCACATTAAATAATTTTTAACATTTAGTTTTGGTGCTAATAATAATAAAAGCTGTTAAATGTAATAATGATAATTGCTTACTATTGTAAAAAAAGTTATTTTGTATCCATTCACTGTTTCAATGATTGTTAATATCATTATGAGTCTTCTTGATTCTTGAATTTAATGCCAAAAATATCATTTTAGACATTAAGTCCAAGAAGATGAGTTTAAGTAATTTTAAACAATACTGATTATAGAATTTATTGAAAAGTTTTTGAAATTTTATTATTATTCTCAAATAATATTCATTAAATTATAATAATTAAAAATCAATATTAAAGATAATATATATTAGATTAATGTATAAAAATCAGGTTTCCAATAATAATAATAATTTGTTTCTTTAATACATTTTTTATAAATTTAACTGAAGTTTTCTTCTTATGATGTTACTCATGTATTTTGTTATATTTCTTATTTATTAAGTTTTTAAATATTAATTACATGCTTTAAATTTTTTACAGGATAAACTGAAGATTTTTTACACTGTTGCGATCAATATTGTTTTTTATTGAGATGAAGTGTGGTATGTGAATTGATTGATGTAAAACTGTATATTTTTATAATAAATCGTTTCAAGATCAGAAATGCTAAACTAATAATAATCATCAATTTTGTTATAATTTAACTACAAATAATGAAATCTGTTACAGTACTTGTAAATAAAACTTTATCAGATTATAATAAAAAAGAAAAAATATTTATTCAGAAATAAAGAATAATGAATTGAGATGACTTAAAAATTCCATTAATATTTAATAATGAAATTTTTTTAATTATTATATATTTAAAAAATTTTAAACTCAATAAAACTAATTTAACTTTTTTATCATGTTTAGCTTTTATTTTAGTTTGATTAATTTAGTTGATAAATTTTATTTTAATTTAAGAAACAATTACTATTTTTATAACAGATTTAATACAATTTTTAAGGTATTTTTAAATACAATATAAATCCTATTACTTGCCTTGGCATTCTTGAAGATATTTATATATATCTTTTTTTAATATTAGTAAATAATTTGATGTTTTTATTGTAAATTAGAAAATACATTTTTTTTAAATGAGAATACATCAAAAATTGCTTACTAGACATCACAACTTATCATGCAGTGCATAGTTACATATCATAAATTTGTTAAACACTTCATTCCATTAAACTGATATTGTATTTTGGTACATTTGCCAAACTTTCAATTATTATTAAATGAGATGTGGTTACCACAGTATGTTCAGGTCATATTTTTTAAACTTTATTGATTTTAACCTGACAATGAAAAGATATGTAAAATTTTGTAAAGTAAAGTTTTGACAAAATTAATAGACATTATCTTAATTTTTTTTAATATAAAATTTGTCATTGGTGTAATTTTTAATTAAAAGTATTTTTAAATCTTAAATATTTATAAAATTTTTATTTAAATTACATTTTTATTTGTGCTTTTATAGTTTTATGATGACAGCTTAATCTGACTAATTGAATTATTAATAAGCAAATATTGAAAGTTTTTTGCTGTAATTATTTTATAAAATATATATTTTGATATATAATAACTAAAATAAAATTTAATTATTTCAAAACTAATTAATTAAAGTAATTATGTATAAAATTTATTTTGAATTTTTAATGTAATTTTAAATACAAAAATGACAAAACATACTAAATTTAGAACCAAGATGATTTAACATTAGTAAGAAAATTTATAATTGCATATATGTTTTATTTCCTATTCAATCCTATATTTTTTTATCTTAAATTGTATAAACAAACATCTTTCTTATGATATATATTTATTATTTATAGAAAAGTTCCAAACTTCTTTTAGTAGTAATTAAATTTGTGATGATGAGCCACAAAAACTCAAAAGCACTTGGGATTTTAATATCTAAAGTTTACCAGATAATTATGTTTTATTGGAGTAATTTGATGTATTATTTAACTAATAATTTGTAAATTTTAAATCTTTATTTAGTTTTTATTTTTAAATATTAGGCTATATATGTGATCATATTATATTTTGATTAATTATTCAAATAGAATGTATTACAGATAATTATTAAACATTTTCAAAAAATATCTAAAATATCATTTATGTCCTTTCTAAATTTTTAAATTAGAATGCTTTTAGAATTTTATTTTCCTTTCAGTACATTAAATTTTACATTAAATTTACAAAAAAATTAATTTAAACAATTAATTGATTTGAACCACTATAGTTTGACTTTTTAACTTTTAAATGATCAAACTTTAGTAATAAAAATTTCTATTTGAATTGTTCAAAGATGAAAAAAGTTGTTCATCTTATAAAGCTGAAAGATATGAAACTAAAGGAACAAAGTTGGAAGATAAGATAAAACCTTAATGATCAGAATATTAATTTTGAAGTAAATTATAGGAATAATAAAATTATCATTTAAATATTTTATCATTTTTAGTATGTTTATTATGAATATAATAATTTAATAAAACTGAAAAAGTATCAAGATCATTTGTCAGAATATTAATGAAAAGTGCTAAAAAATATTGAAATATATATAACAGTTCTAACTAGAATTTTACCTTGAATAATATTTGGCTTTATATGAATGGATTGAATAATTAATTTCATTCAAATATGGCTAATTACAATTTTTAAAAGTAAAATGATCAGTTTTTGATAGAAATCAAATATAAAAATGCTTAATATTATAGCTGCTAAATTTAGAATTTTAATTTAATGTAATTTTAGGAAAATTTTCTTTAAAATATATTTAATACATATAAGACAAACATTTTTGACTCATTCTCTTCACATAATTCCTTGCTTTTACAAAAATATTCTTCAAACTATTGTTCAATTTCTGCTTGAGAGGATCTTGTTCATATGTATGACATACAAACAAGATCTCATGGAAGTAATTAAGATGAGTTCTCTTGAGCATAAATTGAAAGACAATATTACCGAAGGGCAGTTTTTTAAACCACTCTTTAAAATTGCTTAAAATTGTCCCTTTGATAATTAAATTTGATTGGTCAAATGATAATTTCAGTTTAAATTTTAAAACAATCTGTTTCTATAATTCTGTGATTTTAATTTGTTATTTTATCAAATAGATATATCACTATAATTACATCTGTATTAAAATATAGATTTTAAATTATGGAAATGAATACTCTTTTTATTACAATGAACAGTGACAGACTGGCCAGGTGTCACATCTCGATGGCAAGTGACACCTGAAATATTACACTATATGCTAAAAATGTTAATGAGCTTTTGGTAGCTTAAAAATATAATAGAAGTTCCAATAGTATTACTATATCCTATTAAAATTTACATTGTATTACTATTGTAACAAAATTTTTCAAGGATACTTAATATTTAAGAATATATTTGTGCAAATCTTTCTAGATTTATTTATCATCTAAAGAATTCAAATGATTACTCTTAATAGTGGACTGCATGAAAAATGCTTTTCAATTATCTGTTAAAATGTGTAAAAGGTTGATACAAGAAAAATATCCATCATGTATTTAAAATTAAAAATTCCATAATAACAATCTGTATTTACATTTAGTATCTACTGTATATTGTTAGTAATATGTATAATATTTATACACTGTAATTACTAAAAAATATATGTTTATTAGAAAAAATTTTAATTGTACCTTTTTCCATTTCAATAAAATTTCAAAATATACACATGTTTATCATTTAATTTGTATAAGAAATATTTTTGGGTGGGCCCCTTTTGTCCTCTGGCAACCAATAATATTAGACTTAGTCTGACACTGACCAGGGCAAATTTTGATATTTCTCTACAGAACTTACATTAATTTCAATACAAACTAATGTAAATTCTGTATTATTTTAACAGATGTTTCTTATAGCTAAAATATTAATAAAGTGGAATTGAATTATCTTTATAGAGAAACACTTCAATATTCTGACAATTGGTCTCTTCTATATTTTAAACATTAATGATGCAAAATATTTAACAAATGACTAAAGAAATGTGTATGTCTGCTATCTTGAAAAATTTCCAAGACTACAAAATGATGAATTGTATCTTATCTTAAGTTACTCTTAATATTAATTAATAAACAAATGTAAATTTTGTGTAGTCAGGAGTAAAGTTGAAATTCTTTCAATGGAAACTAATTTAAAATTATTCAATTTATTACATTCATATTATTTTAATGTGAAAAATATGACTAAAAGGCTTACAATATAAAGATTGAATGTAATAAATGACAAAATTAAATACAGATATAAAATTTTCAAAGCTAAAGATGTATAAAGCAAAAGATGGATTTAATAAAAGATAAGGGTATTATTAAAAATGCATAATGCGTGGAATTTTAGAAGAGAAAGATTAATAGCAAATTAAACAATATATTACATTAAAGTATATAAAAATTAAACATTTAAAGCAATAAAAATACATTTTTATTCAAATAATTAAAAGTAAAAACATAGTAAATATGTGCAACCAAAAATTAAAAAATAAATAAATAAATAACTTATTATAGTAGCTTTGTATGTACAGTACTTAATATCTATAAACTTTTCAATGAAACAAATTTTATAACTTCTCATTTACAAAAAATCAAAAATTTTGCTTTTGAACTTTAAATTATCTGAAGATCTAGATATTTAATAAACATTGTGATAATAATTCATTATTATTTATCAATAAAATGTTTAATGGATAGATTTATAACTTTCAAGATGTTTGTCTCCTTTAAATAATATATTTTTGGAAAAATTTTAAACAAAGTCATTGTTTCATATTTTGAAAATGGCAATATTTTAAATAAAAAATTTAGTAATTGCATTATGTACATTGTTTTGCAATTACATTTATCATTTGTGTGTTTTAAGTGCTCCCATTCTAACGGTTTGTTACTTTTCTAAATTTTGTTTAAAATTTGTATATTTTTTTAAAATGTTAATTTTTAAAAAATTGTTTAAAAATTGTTTTAAAAAAATGTTAATTTTAAAAATTTAAAAATAAGAAATTTTGTACCAGAAATATCAAATGTTACAAAATGTTAATATATTTTCATTCAAAAAATTAATGCTTCAATATAAAAATTATATAATTAATATATATACACAGCATACAGAAAGAATTTTATAGATTTTGATAACTAAAAAATTATCAAAAAAATTATAGCAAATAGTAACTAAGCTAGTAGGATAAATTTATGAAGTTTCAGGTTTAAAATCTTGGTTGGCTCCAAAAGTATTTTTAAAACTATTAGTGACAAAATTGTAAAAAATATTTATTATTTATGTATTTATTATATATATATTTTTTGTACTAAATGCTGTTAGTCAATTTGCAAATGTTTACTGCATGAAATTATAGATTTGATTTAATGCATAGTTTTTCATGTAAGAATTTATTCATTATCTGATTTAAAGTTTTGAAAAATATGGTAATATAAGATCTAAAAAAATTGATATAAACTTTAGATTAAAATATGTACTGATCCGTGAAAAAATTACAAAGATCTTTCTATATATTACCAGTATAATGAGTCAGAAAGAGTTGAAAGCACTAGGAAAATTTTTATAATGTATTGTTTTATTGACAGACTTTGATTGATGTTCATAATCATTATCAAAAACTTATTAATAATAATTAATGTAATTATTTGCTTGCTCTTGCAACAAAAATCTATTAAATGCATTTCATTAATGGAAAAA